CTCCCTACTACTGTCCTTGCTGAAGTTGGGAAGGGTCACTCCCAGCAGGCTTGGCTCTGTCTGCCCAGTATTTTGCTCTCGTCCCAGCATGGTCTCTGGTGTCCCATCGAGAGAATCAGCGTAGAGATCCAAGTTGGTATTATTTTTAGAAATAAAGACATTCCGTCTCAGCTTGCCGAGACCTGTTCAGAAAAGGAAAACAGGGAAAGGCCTCGTATGTTCACGAAGTTCAAGTCGAGTAGTGGAACGTGGAGGCAAAACTCCTGACTCATGGCCTGCAATGTTCCTCTTTGTCGCAAAAGACTGACCTTGTCTTCCAAATAATCCAGCGCTTGAGAACACGGCTGAGCGGTCCCGCACACAGCCTTCTTTGTCTCGTCCTGTCCTCTCTCGGACAATTCTTCACGCCAGATCCGAATCTGTGCACCCTTTGTCTTCCAGTTTTCAAAACAGTGGAGATCAGATTTCGACAATTCGTGCTGACCCTGCGGCCCAGTCAACAACAGAAACATTTTTTTTTTAACTCAAAAATAAATTGGGTTGAATACGGGAAATGGCGCCTTGTGCTGGGCAAAGCTGTTTTTGTCGTCACAGGAAATAGTCGGCGGGTCTGGGGTCTCAAAGATCAGCCTGGTCTCATACAGGAACATTAAAGCAAAGTGGAAGTGGTCACGTGACGTCTCCCTTCAAACTTCGGAAAAGACATTCTTTACAAAATGAGCCAGGGCCTCTTTCTCCCTACTTCAGACCCTGTATTAGTTAGGGTTCTCCAGAGAAACGGAAGCCAGCCCGATATAGATATATGGCAAATGGTGAAGAACTAAATGGAAAAAATTTTAAAACTCCACGATCGTAGACAAGCAGATGAAAAATAATCACAGTAATAGACAATGTGAATAGAACTAACAAACTCAATCGAGCCAACAAGCATCCCCAAACTGCAGGACACACGTTCTTTTCAGGTGCATATAGGGCGCTCACCTACCTAGAACACACGCTGGGCCACCAAGTGTGCCTTAGCACATTTCACAGAGTTGCAGTCACCCAGACTGTGTTCTCTCAGCCAGTGAATGAAATTAGAACTCAGCCATAGATGCCTGGAAATTTCCCAAAGCTTAGAAATAAGCAACATCTTTTGAAAACTCACACACACGCAAAGAAGAAATCACAGTGGAAATTACAAAGATTCTTACTACGAAAAAGACTACATTATTTTCAGCAAGTGACAAACAATTCAGAAAGCCACACACACCCAGCGTGTGGCCTAAGATGGGAAAACAGGAGACGGAGATGAAGACTTAGGCCAGGTCAGGCTAAGACGTGGGCTTGGAGGTCGCGGAAAGCTCCAGAGGCTTTTAACCAGGGGATCCAGGGTGTGGATGTGGATGGTGGAGGGAGGATGGAACCAGGAAGCACTGAGACCAGCTGGGAGATCACCGATCAGTAGCTGTTAGCCATTATCGCTCGTTGAACACCTACTTTATGCCAGGCGCCAGGACCACTATCTTATTCATGGAGGAAGAAGAGGAGTTTGCAGGAACTTGGGAACTGAAGCTTTGTGAGAGCGAGGACCTCCAGTCTTAAATTTGTGATGTCAGAGATTCCTAAAAATGCGATGGGATGGCCACACCTGACCTGTCACTCACAAAGGGAGATGCAAGGACAAACGACCAGAGTCAGTCCCTGCCTTTTGGAGCTAACGATCTGATGAGCAGATAAACAAATATTCACCCAGCAAATGGGGACCAGAAGGAACAAGCTAAGCTGCTCTAAGAGAAAACTCCCAGCATGCAGTGCTTAAAATAAGGTAGAAGCTGATCCTCCCGCCACGTGTAACAGAGCAGAGGTAGGCAGTCTAGGGCTGCCAAGGCAGCTCTGCTTCTTGCGGTCAACCAGCAATTCAGGTGGTGAGCTGAGTCCGCCATCCTCAATACATGGTCTCCATCTCCGGGTCCACAGGGGATGCTCCCGTGGTTGCCATTTCCTGACAGTGCTGAAGACCAGGGGGAGGAGATGCCTGGGTGTTGCACACATCACTTCCGTTCTCGCTCTATTGGCCGAATGTGGTCACGTGGCTACTCTAGCTGCAAGGGAGGCTGGGACATGACACTAGCTGGGCTGGTTCTAACACTGCAAAAAAGAGGGGAGAATGGGCACAGGGTCACGATGGGCAGTCTTTACAAAATATGAATTTGCAAGCGTGACCAGTGTGTGAGAGAGAAGAACATATAGCTGGGAGAGCTAATAACAGGGGCCTTCGATGCAGTCAGAGAGGTCAGAGAAGGCTCTAGGGCTGAGGATGAATGAGAGTCAACTGGGTGGTGAGTAGGGGAAGAGCTTCCTGGCAGAAGGAATAGCACATACAAAAGCCTTGTGGCAGCAGGGGACAAGGCCAGGACTGGAAGAAAGTCAATCAGGTTGTTGCTAACGGGAATGATATAAAGAATGAAATTGAAGACGTAGGAGCCAGACCACAAGGCAAGACCTTACAGTGGTGTTAAGTCTGTCTTTTTTCTGAGAGTGACAGAAGCCACCGATAGGTTTTGAGGGGAGTCACCATCAGATCCGTTCATGTGAAGCTCACTCCGGTTTATGTGGACAATGGATTACTAAATATTTAAACCATGATAATCAGAAATATGACAGGCAAATGGAGGAGAGCTTAGGTCAGGAGGAGGTCACTGTGGATGGAACCCATTAGAGAGGCCCTGGTGACCTTAGTGAGACCTGCAGCGGGGCGTGTAGGGGGAGGGGTTCCAGAGGTACTCGGAAGGTAGAATAGACAAAACTTGTTTGTCACCGCACTCTGGAACCCCCTTCCTCTGCAGTCCTTTCTCTTTTTTTTTTTATTTTCTGTAGTAGATAGAATAATAGCCCCCTCCCCCCAAATATTGATATCCCGATCCCCAGAACCTGTGGATAGGTCACCTTACATGGTAAAAGGGACTTCACAGATGTCCTTGAGATGAGGAGATTATGCTTGTTTAACCTGGTGGGTCCAATGTAATCACAAGGGTCCCTACAAGAGGGAGGCAGGAGCGTCACAATGGTAAAGATGTGACACCGGAAGCAAAGATCAAAGAAAAAGAGAGATTTGAAGATGCTATGTTGCTGGTTTTGAAGATGGAAGATGAGGACCATGGGCCACCAAATGCAAGTGGCCTCTAGAAAGTGGAAAAGACAAGGAAATGGATTCTCCCCCGGAGCTTCCTGAAGGAATGTGGCCCTGCCGACACCTTGGTTTTAGAACTTCTGACCTCCAGAACCATAAGGTCACACATTTGTGTTGTTTTAAGTTGCTAAGTTTGTGGTAACTTATTACAGCTGCAATGGAAAAGGAATACACCTAACATACTACTATGCAATCCATTCATTATGTTTATTTTTTAACTCTCTCCCCTTCCTAGATTGTATACCCCACAGTAGGAATTTTTGTCTTTTTTTTTTCTTTCTCATTAAAGTATCCCAGACACTTGGCATACCTGGAGGTCAGTAAATGTTAATGTACGGATAAAAGGATGGATGTTGAAAGCAGGGGAAGGAGAGGAAAGGAGATCCCCTGGGAACCTCATGGTTATGCTCATTCCCAGACGGAGGTTCAGCTTGGGGAGAACTGAGAAAATGAAGATAAATTCAGTTCGGGGTATATTAAATTTCGAGTGGTTCTATGTGTTAAGAGAAGTGGTTTCGTTTTGTTTCAGAAGGTAGCATGGCTTATGGCTGGCCCGTCAGCTGGACGTGCGTGCAGTCAGTCCTTAAATAATTGGCCTAGACTATCTACCCCATGTGGGTTTCGTTTCTGTTCTTTTCTTTTTTCTTTTCTTTCTTTTCTTTTTTCTCTTTTCTTTTTTCTTTTCTTTTCTTTTCTTTTTTCTTTTCTTTTCTTTTCTCTTTTCTTTTCTTTTTTCTTTTCTTTCTCTCTCTTTCTTTCTTTCTTTCTTTTTTATTAACCTGCTCTGGAGGAGACTGGGGGTGAGTGGGGATGTCATTCCAGAGAGCGAGGGGAATGTAGATCAGGCGGCTGCAGGCCCCAGGGCAATTTAATTCCCAATGTCCCTGAGGTCTAATGTCACAACAGGCAGAGTCCCTAAAAGACTTTCTCAGAAGATGGTAAGGCTGATGAAAGAGGCAGGGACACCGCCTCCCTCCCCAGCTGGTTACTGGTGACTCAAATATTTCCCTGTCCTATACTTTCTTCTTGGGCCTCATGCAGCAAGCACTGATTGCGTGCCTCTGGAACGCACAGCTCTGCCCTAAGGACTGGGAAACATGAAGCACTAATACGTGATCTTGCCCTAAGAAGGTTACACCCTAGTTGGGAAGACAGATGTTCACAAAGGTAAATAAAAATACGAGCAACTATACATGGTTTGGCGAGAGGACGGGGTCGGGCAGCTTTCGGTCGGTGAGGTGATCTAGAAAAACTTCGTGGAGCAGATGCTTTGCGAATGGGTCTCTGAAAGACAGAGCACGTGGAAGGGGAGGAAGGAAGGCTTTTAAGATTAAAAGCAAAGCAAAGACTTTCAGGAGTGCTTTTGACCCGTTCGGGAAACCTTGCCTTATATGCAGATACAAGGTTGGCGTCTGGGGAATAAAGAGCAGGCTCAGGAGTATTCCATCTTTGGGGAATTTTAGTATTGCAGGCAACCAGAGGAAAACAACCCCGCCCTCCACTTTTCAAATGAATCCCAGCTGAACGCCTGCGCCTCGCTGGACTAGCACTGTTATCATAGAGACGCAGGGCTAGATCGTCGGCCTCCTCGGAGGCAGACATTTTGGATCCTGGCAGAAAATTGGAAAGGGCTGGAACCACTAACGAGTCAGGACGTACCTCCCGAGGACGTGACAGCAAACGAGATCCTGTGTGGATGACACAGTCAAGAGGTAGAGAGAACTGTGACGCTTCCCTAGGAATATCAGGCTTTTAGAGCGTTGCCCACCGCCCTGCCCTCATCTGAGATGGCGGCTTTGCGGCCGCTCTAGCCCGCGCCTCTCGGATGCCCGGAGCCCCGGAGGGGGCGGCGGCCTCGCCACTGGCCCTCGGGAGGCTGCGGCACGGCTCGCCCTGAGCTCCGGGTCCCACAGAGCGCGTCGCGGCCTTTCGTACGAGGAGGCTGGGCATCTTGGACCGCTCCCCTCCTCTGCCGGGTTCCTTGGCATCTTCTCCGGCCGGACCCCCGGGCCTCGCGGCCCCCTCAGTCGGCACCGTTCCCGGCTGCAGCCCCGCGCGGGCCGGCTGTAACCGCGCCGCGGGCCGGACGATGCCCAGGAAGCTGCTGCTGCTGCCCCCGCGCTCCGTGCCCTCGGCTTTCCGCGCCCCGCGAGCCAGCTCCTCCGCAAGCGCGGCCATGAACGCCGCCCGCACCGGCTACCGAGTCTTCTCGGCCAACTCCACGGCCGCCTGCACCGAGCTGGCCAAGCGCATCACCGAGTAAGGGTGGGGGCGGGGGCCGGCACCGCCCGCGGGACCCCTCCCCGGGGGCCATCCCCACTCCTCCTCCCCGGCGGAGGGGTAATTTGGCCCCGTCGCCTTGCACCGGGGGTGGGGGTCGCAGAATCCTTCCGTTTCGGGGCTGGACAAACCCTCGGAGGTGACAGATGGCGACCCCCCTCCCCAAGTTTGGCAGACTCTTAACGGCTTAACACTCCCACCCACCCCTGGTTACTTGGACCGCTCGCCCCCCTTTCGGCTCCCGGCTCCCGCAGCCCAGGGCGGTGGTTGGGGTGCAGCAACCCCCGGAGCGAGCGCCTTGCAGAGGGGGGCTGTGGGTCCGCTCCCTTTCCCACGGTTGGCGTTGACCTCGGAATGTGGTCATCCCCATTCCCAAGCCTCCTCAATGAGACAGAGGCCAGAAGGCAGTCACAACGCGGAGGACCCGACGGGGTGGGTGCAGTAGAGGGGCGGCAGGGGGACAAGGCAGCTCCCGGGGAGCAGATTTGTCAGAGCTGGTGATAGACATGGTAGAGCTCACCGTACTTTGCAAGTCGACTTTAGGTTGGTTTAGTCATTTGAAGTAGTCTTTGTTTTTCCATGTCTTTTTAACCCAAGGACTCCTGTGGTCTCAAGTGGCCTTGAGACAGCTCTCAGATCTCTTCCCCGTCTTGTCACTTCTAGCTCTGTGACACTGGGCAAGAGACTCGATTCTCCTGAACTTCGTTTGTAGAATAGAGCTGATTCTATCTATCGGGCAAGAATATCGTAAGCATGAACAAGATCGTGTATTATCAAGCATCTAGCAGAGCTGAGGCTCACAGTGGCCCTCTGAATACTATCTGCTCACTAAATGGACTCTTTTCCAGTTGACTCCTGTGGAGAATCCCAGAGCCCCAAAGTAAAGGAAGAGCCTTATAAACTTGGTGCAAATGGAAGACAAACGAAGAGCTTGACTTTGTTAACAGAGTTTTTTTTTTTTTTTTTTTTTTTCACATTTTAAACAGTTTGTATTAGAGTTCCTCTGTGAATTTTTCGGAGTTGGTGAATAAAGGCATGACTATTTTTTAAAATTCTAGTTAGAAATGTAGAAGTGGAAACTTTAGTCGTATTTACTCAGTAATGTCTATTTGCTTTTCAGTTAGAGTTACAAGTGAGGTTAGAAGGGTAAAAGAACAGTCCTTTTGCAATCTACTACCTCTTTCTGTTTCTAACCCCTGATTCTTTCTGAGGCCAACTAAAATACTAACTTTAAATATAAAGCTCGTGTGTGTTTGTTTTGGGTCAGATTTACCACACGTTGACCTTGCCGAGAGAAAGCAGAAAGGAAGTGGGCACATTTAACACATCAGTGGTTTTTTCTTTTTTTGTTTTTATGTTAGGCTCTTCCCTGCCTCGTTCTGGAAGGTTTTAAGTTACTATGAACAATAAATATTTCTCTTATCTGTTTCTCGGTAATTCTCAGTAGTTATAAGCTTCTCAGTTAGTTTTTATCTGAAAAAAGGTTTACCACTAGAGTTTGGAGAGCATTAGATTAGATTGACCCCTGAGATGGTGATATTTTATTTTCACGATTCCTTTCAGATCTAAAGGAATTTTCAGGCAAACTTTTTGATGGACTTTAGTCAATAAAAAAAGTTAGGTGCCTCACCTCCCTGGGTCTGTAATTGCAGGTGGGCGACAGTGAACCTCCTGTACCCTCCTCCAGCTTCCACACTCCGCACCTCTTTGTTAATCTTGTTTCCCCTCCTCCACCTAGTCCCTCACCTTTTTTTTCAGCTGGAATTTTTTTTTAATGGTAAAATAATACAAAATAAAATTTTCCGTTTTAGCCACTTTAAAGCGTACGATTCGTGTAACCAATACCCCTGCCCATTCCTGGAACTTTTTCGTGATCTCAAACAGTAACTCCATCCCCTTTAAACACTAATCTCCCATTGTCCCCTCGCCCAGCCCCTCGTAACCTTTATTCTGCTTTCTGTGTCTGTGAATTTGCCTATTTTAGATACCGCCTATAAGTGGAATCATGCAGTATTTGTCTTTTTGCATCTGACTTGTTAGAATGCTTTCTTCAAGGTTCATCCATGTTGTAGCATGTACCAGAATTTCATTCCTTTTGAAGGCTGAGTAATATTTCATTATATACCTGGCTGGAATATTTTTAAACAGATTCCAACCTTACATCATATATCATTTCATTCATAAATGGTAACGTTAACCAGTAAGAACAAAACCACCACCACCACCACAACAAAATACAACACCATTAATTCCTTAATATCATCGAGTATCCAGTCCTTATTCATATTTCCCTGATTGTCTTAAAAAGAGCTTTTCACATTTGCTTTGTTCTAAAGGAGATCCAAACAAGATTCACACTGCATTTGGCTAATGGCACTGAAATCTATATGCTTTTGACAATTGAGGCTTGCGTTTTTGGAATTCTTGCTAGTAACCAAATATTTGTTTGGGAATGATTTTCCAAGACAACTATTATTCATAAAACAATGAACTAGACATTAAACTTTGGTTGTGGGCTTGTCCCAGTAAATCATTACATTACCGAATGGTGAGCTCTTAAAGCTGCTTGTGGAGTGACAGCATTTTTAATTCCTTATGAATTAAACTTTCTATATAGTTCTTTGGGAAAGAATGTCAGCCTGATTATTTTAGTCATTTCGTTTAACGTATGCATGTGAACTGGAGTTTTTTCAGAGCACTCTTAATGGCCTTTTTTTCCTCCCTGTAGGCGTCTTGGTGCTGAATTGGGGAAGTCTGTGGTATATCAAGAGACCAATGGAGGTAAGTTAAAATTATTTGTTCTCTAAACTATTTAATTGGCTGGCATGTTTTTAAAAGATAAATATTACTCACGTTTAACAAAGAAACATTTTTCTCTTTAACATCAGAGGTCTAAGTCATCATTCTCTACTTCCCTTCAAATCTCGATGTCTTTGGTCACCCCCTTAAAGTCTCCTTTCCTCTTTTTCCAAGATAACGCAAATATCCTGTCATTCTGAAATGAAAAAAGGGGAGATGTAGGGAATAAGATTTTTCTTCTATATTGAGCTGTATTGGTAACTACTTTTTGCTTTTATCTGTCTCATTAGGTCATCAAATGGCATCAGGCACAATCTGGTACTAGGTAGTGATGACTTACTGAAAAACGCTCTGTCGGTTCTTTTCATCTCTTTAGTTTTTCTCTCAAGTCTCTCGCAGACGCTCACCTGGCTTGGTGACCCGTTTTTTCTTGCTCTGGGTTTCTGTGGGGAATGCTGAAGTTAATTGATGATCCTTGAAGGCACTTTGCTGGAGGCCAGTGTCCTAGGAATGCTGCATCGTAAATCTTCCAGGGGCCACACATTTTAGATTATAGTGTCCTTATTTATTACAAAGACAAGTTAGTATCAAATAATTTGGAATTATTTTTTAAAGTTGAAAGCCAGGATTCATTCTCTGCCTTCTTTTCTCTTTCTGAGGTAGAGTTATCTATGGTATAAGTAGCTTGAGATGAATTACTAAGACATAATGGTGTTTGGGGATCTCAAAGAGCAACTTATTCAAAAGGCAATGATAGTTTAATGGAAAACACACATTCCCAGGATGTATATGTTTCATGTGTGTTATAATTAACCCCCAGATAGGCTTCATCCAGCTTTCACACTTGGTAACTTTTTACTTGGTGACTTTAGAAACCATCCACTGACTGACTCCCCCTCTGCTTGGCACACTCTGTCCTACCTCTTTGCATGTTCCCATACTCCCTTCCTCACTGCACATTCCAGCTGGCAATGAGGCCATTGTTCCCAGCCGCATTATTCTTTCTGCTGTATCACAGCTGGTCATTCTCTGGCACGTGGGCCTGAGAGTTTGCCAGCCTTTGGTTTTGCTTTGTCTCCCTGGGTCAGTCTTCATCCCATGGGCAAAGTCCTCCACTTTGTGACTCCGGCACAGGGCCTGGCACAGAGGGAGGCTCAGCATTTGCTGAAAGAATGATAAGGATGTTAACCTTTGGCCTTTTTATTTGCTGTAGACCGTCCCCCACCCCCACCTCCCGCCCGCTGCCCCCACCAACCCTAGTATCTTGTCTTTACTTTGGTGATAGATTTTCTTTTTTGGACCCTGAGATTTTACATAGACCGTTTGTTACTTTTGCCTCCTTGTCTGTCTTTGGTTTATTTTTCTCCTTCACTTGTACATGTCATTCTGAGATCTAGTAAGAATTTATTTTGGTGCACTAAGCAAAGTGCTGTTTTAGATTCATCTTTACTTCCTTCAAATAGTGCTTGATTATTACCATAAAGTGTTTTTCTTAAAACTGTGGAACATTTTTATTTTTCAGAAACAAGAGTTGAAATAAAAGAATCTGTTCGTGGCCAAGATATTTTCATTATACAGACAATACCCAGGTAAGCACTACTGTGTATGAGATACTTCATTATCTTTTCACATGAACAACAATTCCGTTTTCTTTAAATTATAAATGTATTTGCATGTGAAACTGTTTTCCTGAGTTCTGTGAGCCGCTCTAGCAAATTAATAGACCCCAAGGTGGGGGAGAGTCACAGGAACCTCTGATCTGTAGAGTGTCGGTCACAATCACAAGTGGTAGTCTGGACTTGGCAGTTGTCATCTGAAGTGGCAGGAAGCGGTTCTGTCTTGTGGGACTGAGCCCTTAGCCAATGGGGTTTGATGCTGTTCTCCAAGTAGATAGCGTCAGAATTTAATTGAATTGTAAGACACCCTGCTGGTCTTCAGAGATTCTAAGAGTTACTTGATGTGAGAAAAACACCCTGTACATTTGGTGACCAGAAATATTCAGTGTTCTGAATGTACAGAGAAGATAAAATAAAAACTGTTTTTCCTTAAAGTCTCCTTTGAGGGAATTGAGAAAACTAACTGTCCAAATGAGATGGGACCCACAGGGTCATGGACTGAGTTATCAAACCCCAGTGAAACAAAATTCTCTTGCAGTGATAACGGGCAGATACTAAGTATTTTATTTTTAATATTTTTTTCTAATTATAAAAAGTGTTAATTACTAAAATTATAGGCATTATGGAAATGCGTATCAAAAAATAAAAATTCCCCAGCCCTCATGCACTCCCCAGTCTTCTGATATAACTACTTCACATAGTTAGTTATTCCTCTATATTTTATATGTGTATATACATTTAGGCTCCATAATTCAAGTGATCCTCAAAACCAAAAGACGAGTAATTTTAATTTTATCTGCATAAGTTTCAAAAGAGTACATAAAGACACGTCCCTCTGCCCTCTGCCCCCAGCCACCTTGTCACCCCATCCCCTTACCCCCAGGCAGCAATCCTTATTCATTTCTTCGATATTCTTTCAGAGACTCTGCATAGTCAAGCAATTGCTTATATGTTTTTCTCAATTTTTATATAAAAGGAGTCTAATATATACTGTGTTGAATTTTAAAAAATAAAACAATATACTGTATTAGCACATAAAGAACTACCTCATCTTTTAAAAATTCTTATTTTGAAACAGTTACAAACTTGTTGAAAACTTGTAGGTATGGTGCAGCCATCGGAGTGTAGGTTGTCTACCTGTTGCTTCGCCACCCCCAGATACTTTAGAGGTAATTCCTATGAACAAGGACCGTCTCTTACAAGACCACAGTACAGCCATCAGCATGGGAATCCTGACACTCACTCGTGACGGCCATCTAACCCTCAGACCCCGTTCAGGTTTTATCTGTCATCCCAGTCATGCTCTTCATGGAGCATGGAGCCAGGTCACAACCCCAAGTGGCACGTAATTGTCACACCTCTTCAGCCTTCTCCAGTCTGGAGCAGTTCCTCGGTCTTCCCGTGACTTTCAGAACTTTGACACTTTAGCCAGTTTATTTCGTCGAATTGTTCCTCAGCTTAGGTATGTCAGATATTTCATTAACCTACAAATTGAAAGGCTGACGTGAAAGGCAACAAGCACTGATTTGAGGTCTAAAAGAGTAGCTATTTGGGAAGCGCCGATTCAGGCAGAAACTCAGAATGTTCTGATTATGGGCGAGGGTGAAGGCGAGGGGTATTTATGAGAAAGGGAAGAGGGATAATTACATGAATAGAAGGAAGGGACTTTCTGTTGGTGACAGTAAGTCACGGAAGGAATCTGTACAGGTGCGAAGAAGCTGTTATTCTTCGCTCTACATGGCAGTGCTGATTCTAAAGAACGTCTCTAACCGTCAGTCCAGTGGTCAGACTGTCTGCTCTCCTGTTAGCTTTGCAAACAGTTGTTTGGAAGACAGTGTTACCTGGCCCCGTCCAGAGGTCACTTTGCCCAATCCCAACATTCCAGCGGTTTGGGGAGTAAGGCGTGCGGCGCAGTTCCTCTGGGGTGGCTGCTCCAGCTCCATTTTGAAGGGGCTCGGTTTATATTGGTTTTTGCAGTGGTGACGGGATTCAGGTTGTGCACAGAAGCGGGGTTGTGCCCTCCGTGTCTTACCTTTTTGCTGCTTCATCATTATGTGGCTGTCCTGGAACTGGCTCCGCCAGGCACGTAGCCGACTGTTTCTGGTCTTCAGCCGACACGGCAGCGCCGCAGCAGGACCCCCGAGTGTGTGTCATTGCGCTCGTTTCGGGTACATCTGTGGGCGGGGAGTCTGAGACTTGGAATTGCCGGATGTCGGGGTACATGCATGTGTAGTGTCCATAGGTGCTTCCGCACTGCCGTCCATCGAGGATGTACTGATTTACGTCTCCAGCAATTTTGGTTTTGTGTCGCTTGCGTCTTGGTGGTGGGTCTCTCTGCTGAGCATTTCGTTCGACAGTGCACCTTGAAGTGAGGGGAAGACCCAAGGGGCTTGCCTGGGAGCGAACACCTGTAGCAGGGGGCCTTCGCCCTGCCCACAGATGCTCCCTAGCCTTCTGTGCTCGTCCTGGTTTTTGCTGGTGTTAAATAGTGAGTTTGCAATGTCGTCACTTCCCCCCCGCCCTGAACTGACTGCCTTAGAACATAGGAAAGAGCCGCCTGTGACCTTAGGCCTCGGCATAGCCATCTTAGATTACTGAGAGCCCTTTACTGGTTTATTGAGGTGTGGCAAACAGAACCTTGGGCACCACAACCATCACGGGCCAGCTTTGTCCCTGGTCCTCCAGGAAACACAAAGTCTAAGTCCAAAGTCTTGTTGGTCAGCGACGTCTCTTTCCTCTGCCCTAAGAATGCGTGCCATGTGAAGAACGGTTTATCTTGTAAGAAATCTTACCATTGCTTCACGGGCCCACATCATAACTTGGAATCTGAGTCTGACTTTGAGCTCGTCTCTGGGGCAGAGGTGGCCCGATTGTGATCAGGTGCGCGCCAGCACACAAGCGGCTATGCGCTTGGTAGCTTTGTTCCGTTCCGTGTGTGTAGGGGGAGGAACTGGGCGGTTATGACCGTCCCACATCGGACCCCCTCTTGTTAGATGTGGATGCATCAGTGATGGGCTGCCTCCCCCGCCGTTGGCAGACCACTGAAGTACAGGTGTTGGAGAGGTAGGATGCCGATAAGTTTTTCATTTTCACAATGAGCTGGAATAGTTGAGGCTTTGATGCCTTATGTGAAGTATCATCCTTTTTGATAACTTTCTTAATCATAAGATTGACTTAGTCAGACTGAATGTTTATATAGCACATTTTCCTGAGGCTACTGAGTATTCTTTTCTCTTTACTTTTATTCTGCATTTAGGAAGTGGGGAAGAGACATCATAATAGCAATTGCCAACTGTGCAGTGGCCGGTATGTGCCCGGCCCTGCTCTGCGGGCTTCAGGTAGATTTTCTCACCTGGTCTTCACCACCGCCGTCTGAGGCAGGTGTTCCCATCGGCCCCTTTGATGTTCTCTAAACCTGCATTGCTGCACGTGAGTGCGCGTACGTGTGCGCGTGTTCTGCACGTAGGGCAGAGGGACAGACAGCTCTATCCTTAATTTTCTTGTCGTGACACATCTCCTTCCATATTCCCATCAGAACATAAGCTTCACGATGGCAAAGATTTTTCTTTGTTCACTGCCGTGTCTCCAGCACCCAAAACACATTCGTTTGATGAATAAATGGATTTCGACCTATGTCACTAGCATATACAGTCCCTCAAATCCTTGCGGAGTGACTTAATGAATAATATGCAACTTTTGTACATTTCCATCTTCACAGAATAACTGTGACTCCCTCTCTGTCCTCGAGACCTCAGCGAGTCCCTAATACTTGGTGGGCCTCCCTTTCCCACTGGATCTCATTTGAAACGGAAAAAGACCTTTGGGGTCTGTGTCTGGACTTTGAAATTCCCGGTTTTAGTTCAGATTTCCCTTAACATGTCATAAACAGTGGAAGTTCACAGTGTACTGGCATGGGAAAATAACGGTCACTGCGAACACACTGTCCCCTCGCGCTCTCCAAACAGTGGGTTGTTAGTCTTGCAGTAGAAAGTTGTGCTTTATCTAATTCTTCGCTCTGATGTCTCCTGGTAACCAGCAGTGCTCAAGGTAAATATTTGATACACACCACCGCGAGTGCACGGGGGGCAGAGATACAGACTAGACTGGAGTTTACCGAGCAAGGATCATGGCTTTGCAGGCATTTTCCAGGGAAAGGACAAAATCAGCGTGGTCAAAAGACTGGAGTAATGGCCAGTCGGGAAACGTGTATGTTTTGTTCATCTGTACGTAGGGCGTTAGAAGCTGGACCACAGGAAGAGGCGGGGAGCGGTCCCTGGAGCCGCAGCAGAGAGCGTGGGTCTGTGGAAGGGCCGCGGCCATCTCGCTGAGACGTGCGGGCCGCTAGCTGCGCTCGTTTCGAGATGGTTTCGAAGCCACAACCGTCACCTCAGTGGCTCAGTTTGGTAGTGTGTGTGTCACGTGCCGTTGAGTCGGCTGCAACTCCTGCGACCCTGCAAATGAGTGACATCCGTTCTGCTCAGCTCCTGTAGACTCAGCACGCCTGTGGCTTCGCTCATGGAGTCGGCCCATTCATACTCGATCCCCTCTTTTCCTGCCGCCTGCTGTCCTCCCAGAGCACCCTTCCTTCTCACGTTGCGCCTGAAGCAGGACAACCTCAGTTTTGTCACTTTTGCCTCCAGCGATGCTTTGGGCCCAACTCGTCCCTATTTATGGTGATCTCTCCTCCAACACCGTGTTTCAAATGAATGGATTGTTTTCCTATCAGCCTTCTTGGCTGTCGACCTTTCGCCTTTGTACGTGGCGATTGGGAATGCGAGGGTGTGGATGATCTTAGCTCTGGTCTCTAATACAGATCGTGTGATCTTTCCTGATTCTTCCATCGCTGCCCCCCCGACTCTCATCCTTCCCTTGATTTCTTGGCCGCAGTCTCTCCATTTGTATTGATGACCGAACCAGGGTAAGCAAAGTCTTTAAGAATTTTAATGTCAGTTTGGTGGTTCAGTTTCCAGGTATCAAACCAAAATATCCTCACTCGGTATCTCTTAGGATGATGGGGATGGGAGAGGACACAGGAGGAAGGACAAGAGTGTGTGTTGTGTGTACGTGTGTGTCTCGCATATGAAAAAAGGTCGTAGGGTTTGCCACGTGGACTAGTGCTTTTACTGCTCGACTACAGAAAACTTTAATACCAACTGAAGAACACGAAGGATTTAGTTTTTTACTGTCATCTGCTATAAACAGTTATCGAGAGGAAGGAACGTGCCGCATAGATTCTCCTGCAGGGGAGGAGAGGGGGCTGCTGCCTGAAGCGACAAGGCTGACTTTAGAAGGCAGACCCCCAGCTTAGACATTCAGATGCCGGTGTCCCGAGACACCGACACAGGCACGTCCTGCCCTGCGAGGTGCGTCGTCAGGCGATCTTGTCGTGTGGACGTCGTGGAGTGCGCGTCCACAGACCAGACGGTGGGGCCTGCGGCTGTGACCGTACATGCTGTCCTTTCACCCGATGGCAGTGCAGTGGTTTGTTTACCCCGACATCGTCCCCAACACGCGAGGAAGGCGTCGTGCTAGACAGAGCATTAGGATGGCCATGACGTCGCCAGGCGAGAGGAGCGATCCCAATGCAGACAGCCGCCATCCCGCAGGTGCAGGGCCCTGAGCCGCAAGACCACCCCGCCTCCCGATGCCAGTGGCGGGTCCAGCTCGTCACCGTACGCTGACCGACTGACCCAGTGACCCACCGACTGATCATACATTCCAAAGACCCTCTTTGGGTTCAGTCCATTTGCTAGAGCCGCTCACAGAACTCAGAACAGCCAAACGGAAGAGATGCATAGGGCAAGGTATGTGAGAAGGGACGTGGACCTTCCACACCTGGCCAGGTGCACCGCTCATCCGCATCCCCACGTACTTACCACCTAGAATCTCCAAACTCTTTCCTTTTGGGTTTTTATGGAGGCTTCATTACATAGGCATGATTGATTAATTCGGTTTGGCCATTGGCAATTACTGATTCAGCCTCCACCCCTTGTCCTTCCCCAGCCGCCAGGCAGGTGGGGCTGAAAGTTCCAGCCTTCTCGGCAGGGCCCTGTAATCATCTCTAAGCAGCCCTCATCCTTAGGTTACCTGGATGCTTCAAAAAAGTCACCTCATTAACATAACAGAAGACCCTTATTGTTCTCATCAGGTAGTAAATTTGTTTTAGGAACTCTGTGCCAGAAATAGGGAAGAAGACCAAATACGTTCCTTACTATAAGTCACAATATCACAGCTGGTACTCAAGGAGCTTTTAAATACTGAGCAGCGGAACCAAGTAAAATAGATAGGAAGCTTCCAGAATATTTTTTGCAGGGCAATTTTCACGCCTACGTTATAAGTTCTAGGATGTCATGCAATGAAAGGACATTGATGACTTATTTGCCCCAGATGATTAGTTGTTGGAGTTGGGGCCGGGTACATCCTACCCCATGACCCTGGTCTCGTTTCCATCTGTGCTGTTGGCCTGGGTGCAGCCCTGGGCAGTTTAATTGATGTACGCAGGACAAGTCTGTTTCCCCACCTCACGTTCTTTTCTGCCTGAGAGAGCAGTAAGGGCCAAGTTTAACATAGGGTGTGATTATCTTAGGGAAAAGAAAAACAGTTGGTAAACAATTAAGAGTGTCCTACTTAGATACAAAGACTACAAGAAGTAGCCAGGATGTACTTGGAACGGTCTTAGGGAACAGATAAAGCAGAGGCTGCCCGCCAAATTTTCTTCACCCTGCTAGTCCACAGAATAGCTGCCTGGTGTCCAGTTTGTCTAGCGTCTGTCAGTGAATGGGGAAGGCCAGTGTGACAAAGGCCCTTTTGTGGCCTTCCTGACCAATAAGGGGTGGGGCGAGAGCAGCTTTCCTTAGACTCAGGCTGGCGGATGTTGAATCCTTTGGCATAGATCTTTAGGAAGAAGAAAAAATGGAAAATAAAAACCTCCTGGGAGAGATTAGTAATTAATGGAAGGAAAGTTATTCTGAAATCAAGGTTCCTCCAAAATTGTTCTTACTGCCTTAATATCTTACTATCTGGGCCTCCCCTGTGGTGTGCCAAACCTCACTGTCTCACGTGCTTGTGTATATCAATGCCGTCGCAAAGCCAGCTAACCACGCACTACCCAGACAGATAGTCTTCTGGAAGCTATTGCATTCACTTCTGCTCTGAGCATGCTGGCACTGGGATCTGGTGTAAGAAACCACTTCCCATGGGACTTTCCTGATGCCACACAGTATCACACAAGAGGAAGGTTAAGGAAGCTCCAGTTTTATTTCTAACCTTGACGAGCAGCCTGTATGTGGGAGAGGACTTTTGCTATAATGTATGTGATGCCTAGTGTTGAATCTAGATGTGGCCTCCTGAGTTATTTACGTTCTACCTCCGAAGTACCATGCAGGCTTCCAGCCTAACATTCAGAGCCTACAAGGCGTCCATTTAGGTGATCCGATGTGGGAAGGGAATAAAGTATAAAAGTGTTTGGGAAGGGGAACATTGTTACGTGAGTTAGTCATGCTCCTTCCTGGGACAGATGATTAGCACAATAGTCATCCAGTGTGGGTCTCTGGGAGTCCCCATTTTATCTCCTCTAATACAGTGTCTGACTCAGGTCACTCAGTCAATGTTTGCTGAACGGATGAACAAAAATTGACCAAGTGTTAGAAACTCCTAAGTGTTCTGAAAGAGTTTGACAAGGGTTCTGTCCTGATAATGCCAAAAGATTGTGTGTCCTCTGTCCTTTTTATGGCTGACTTGGGACATGATTACTTTGGGAGTATTGCAGACAAAAACGGGTGCTGTAATAAATCATAAATTCCTACCTGGGCAGGTCATGGTGGGTAGCCCCGCCCCAGGCCTGTGACTGGTTTGGCGGAAGGTTTGTAAGCCAGCCCTGTACGTCCTGGCTAACACACGTCCTGGTTAACACACCTCCGAGATGTCGGAAGTGATGCCCCTTGCAGGTGTAAGCACCCTCAGGAGAGCACGTCACCTTAACTGATCTGTAATCCAGTCCCTGCCTTGCTTTCCCCCACCCCCATGTCATCTTCCTTACGTTTGCACCTTAATTTCAAATGCGTGAAAGAAACCGCAGAACTGTTATTCTCACAAGCATTTGAGATCTCGCTTCCCGGCAACTTTTCCGTTTCGACTCAAATAAGCTCATAAAAATTCTCTGTAGGTTCGGATGTTTCTTATGTTGACAGTATGAAGGAGAACAATGCTCTAGTTTATTTCAGAGGAAGGAAATGATACCTGGAAAATAATGTAACCTGTCAGCACTCCAGAAGGAACGTCTCGAAGTTGAGCCCGAATCAGTTACGTCTCCCCTCTGGGAGAAATGTTTTCATGACAGAACCTCGAAATAGTTACGAAAAAACTCCAAATGACAGAGGTGAGGTTGGAAGTTCCACGAGTCAAACGTGGAGGTGGAAAACGTCAGAGTAGAAGGATGTGTCTGCACATGCTCACCTCTGGGTGTACCCCTAAGGACGTGCACCCTCAGAGACTGGTAGACAAAAATTGGAAGAGTCTGGAAGAAGTGGCCTGTCCTTTAAGCTGAAAAACACGCTTTTATTAAGTCTCTGTTGTGTCGATGGCAGGCTTTCCATTTTGCTTTAAATGAGGGCAACATCTCTGCTGTGGAGCAGAGCATTTAAGAACAGACGCCTGAAGAACCTATTCCTGACACGTGGGTGGGGACGAAGATATGGGGTGTGATCCTGTTTGTCCGGGGAAGGCGAGGGAGACACAGTCCTGATGCAGAAGAGGGGGTGTCTTTAAGGGCAGAGCCCACCTTTGACTTGATCAGCCTTAGCAAAGGGTAGCAATCCGCATTCATTAAAATTGGGAATAGCCTTTTCTTTGAATATCTTTCAAATTCACATTTCCTCCTCTTGTCCGTCTGGGTTCATCTTTATTGGGAATCTGTGTGTCTCAAGGAAAGCAGGGATGGGGGAGATTTGGGGAAATTCAATTCCAAGACCTCCCCATTCCCCACTGTGCCCTCTACCCCCAAAGCAGAAGGTACCAAACCCTTTCTGGTAATAACACTCATTAGCAGGACAGGTGGTTTCCCTCGGCGGCCCAGGAAAACCAGGTGCCAGCATGCTGGCCTGAGTCTGAGTGCCTGGGGTGGTACGGGCAGGTGCCAAGTAACTCTGGTCACCAGCAGTTGACGTCTGCTTTACATGCCACTCCAGTGACTGTCACTGATGAGACCCAGGCAGAGGTGAGAGTGGATCTCAGTCGCCACAAATGAACACTGGAGTTTACACAGCTAAAGAGGAGAGTTACAGGCTTTCCCTTGTGTTCACGAGATGCCGTCGTCAGCCTTGGTGATAAAGTCAACGCCTGTAAGGCCCGTCTTGGCAGCCCATGTTAAACTGCTGACGTCGAGAACTTTTAGAGGCTCATGTGTGAAATCAATCCAAACACAAATTCCCACTGTTTCAGAGATGTGAATACAGCTGTGATGGAGTTGCTGATCATGGCTTATGCGCTGAAGACGGCCTGTGCCAGGAATATTATCGGAGTCATCCCTTATTTCCCCTACAGCAAGCAAAGCAAGATGAGGAAGAGGGGTTCCATCGTGTGCAAGCTACTAGCATCCATGCTGGCGAAAGCAGGTGAGCGCGTTGGAGACCCTGGGGCCCACACTGTCATTTAGGACATGTCCCTACTCGAGATTAGTCCACACCTCATGTACCTAATTCGGGATCTATTTTCTCTAAGTGTCGTTTGCTGATTTCTTTTTCTCATTTCCTTTTGCAAGTACTGGTTAGGGATATGTGAGCTTAGATGTGAATTTGTACATTTTTTCTCTTTTTCTTACTCCAGTGTGACGTTATCTGCTTTTCTATTCTAATCTTGGCCTTTTTCCCATCGTTCTGTTTACTTCTTTCACATTTCATCTTATTAAATTTTAACTGGCGACCTTGGCATTCGTACGTGATCGTTTGAGCTTCAGGTCTAGATTTGTGTATTTGCCTTAGCTAAGTTCTATTTATGTACATAATACTAAAACTGGATTTTTCTTTTACTATTTCTTTAGCTTATATACTCTTTTCTCCCCCTCCCTGATTGTCTTTACGTGGAGCAGCTCAGTGTCATGGCTTTTATTCTGTGTGTTTTTGTAGGGGTGGCATACTTCCTGGCCTATGAATCAGATGTAACAACACTTTACAATTACTTGAATTTTATTTGTTTTGATGTTTATTTTAAAACTATATTTGAATCCTCAGGAACATATTTGAATTCCGTTCTCTCTAAAAATCTAATGTTTTTAGAAAGAACAAGTAATACAAGTTTCTTTGGTTTGGAACTTTTACTGCGACCTTCGGCCATTTACAATGTATTTATGTATCTTTTTTTGTTTCGTGCTATTGATTACAAGAGTCTGTCTTCATTATTTTTCTATAAGACTTTCTTGATCCTTTCTTTTATGCGTATAGAAATTGCTCCAAACTCCTCAGTAGCTTGTCTTTGTGTTATGTTTCTTTTCCTCGAATGCTTAGCTTTTGCTTTCCTGTTACTTCTGCCCCAGCCACAGCCCTTTAGTGCGTCTTCCTGGATTCTTTCATCAAGACCTTACTATTTTTTACCTGTTTTTGCTTCAGTATTTATTAATTCCATCTTCATATTTTTGCTTCTGCCTGAATTTTCTTTTCTTGACTTTGAGGAAGGAGCTAATAACAATGGTGGAGAGCACACTGTTTTCTCAGTGTCAGCTCTGCCAGGGGAGAAGCTTACAGGCTCCTCCTGTACGTTAGGCTGGACACGTGCTCCAATTCATGAAGTTTTGTGAAGGCGGCAAATAAAGTCTATAACGAATGTGCTTGTTGACAACACCCCTGCCTTCAGTCTCCCATTAGGAAACAGGAGTTGGGCGTCTAGTTTTGTGTCCACTGTAGCCATTAACTTGTAGGGGTGAACTTTGTAATTTTTTGTTTTAAAATTTCAGGTTTAACTCACATTATCACTATGGACCTTCATCAAAAGGAAATACAAGGCTTTTTCAGCTTTCCCGTGGACAACCTTAGAGCCTCACCTTTCCTGCTTCAGTATATCCAGGAAGAAGTGAGGAGCCACCAGCACATACCCATTGTCCTCAAAAGGGACCCTATGTAGTTTTTCTCTGGTATCAGATTTCAACATTGAAAGGCACATCACATGATCTTTTCTTAGGTCTTAATGCCTGAGGCAGCCAGATAGGGTCAGCGTTTGGGCATGGAGGATCATATATTTCAAAGGCATTAAAAAAATGGATTTCCTTCTAAGTATCTTTAGCAGTTTGCTTATGTTTTCTTAAATGAAGGTTTTAAGAATTAATTACTTTTTATCTTGATGTAGCAGTACTTTTGCAGTGATGTTAATTGATAAGCGTTAACATTCTAAGATGTGTGAATGAAGTTCTAGCATATGTGATTGCTAGCGTGGATCCTTGTTATAAGAGGAAAATGTAATAGCACATAAAGGTATTATTTTTTGATAACTTTTCAGTATTTTCTTATTTTTCTTCCAAATCTAGATTCCAAATTACAGAAATGCAGTCATCGTAGCGAAGTCTCCTGATGCTGCAAAAAGGTAAATGAGCCAGACGCTTATAAAATCGCTTCCGGGTGCTTCCGGAAGTCAGAGCGAGCCCTTCCGGGTGACTCCGGAAGTCAGCTAGCCTTTCTCGCTGGGACCCAGGGACCCAGGGTCTGTCAATACAGCCTGCGAAAGCTCGTTGGCTCAAGCTTTCCCCGGGTCCTTGTCACGTCCCGCAGCACAGCCCTTTCTGTCTCTAGTCGCCAAACACGAGTGCTTCTCTGAATCTCTTGGTTTTCTGGGAGAGAATGACGTTCTTCCTTCAGGTTCTCAGGAAAAGGAAAACAGAAGGGCTGTGAGCCCTTTTCAGGCAGGGGTTTTAAGAGACCTTTTGAACATAGTTGTTCCTCTGAAGGCGAGCATTAGAATATTGGACAAAGGGTAGAACCAAAATTATCTAGAATCAGGTGCCAGCTCACATCTAAACTTGTGTACCTCTTGAGGCATTTACATTCTGATTTATAGAAATAATCCCTTTGCGTGTCTCTAAAAGGTCGAATGGTATTTTTAGTTTATGCTTAATAAAGTGGTGGCAAAGTGACGCTTGGGGTTTCTTCCAGTGATGCTCACCACATCCCCACGTCTCTCTTAGGGCCCAGTCATACGCTGAGAGGCTCCGTCTGGGTCTAGCCGTGATCCACGGAGAAGCACAGTGCACAGAGCTGGATATGGACGACGGTCGTCACTCACCTCCGATGGTCAGAAATGCCACCGTCCACCCGGGCCTGGAATTGCCGTGTAAGATGAGCCCTGTGTTTTCCTTTTATTTGTAAATTGAAAAAAGTTTTGAGTAGGGTGACTGACTGGCGAGGAGTTAGTACTTCTGTGGATGGACGCTGTCTTGGTATTTTTGAATAATCAAATAGTGTCACATTGATTTCCCCTTTGAAAGGGCGTTGCGTTACACACATTTGCAGAGGATTGGGCATATCTGCATGGCATTTAGCGTTCAGAGAGTGTGAACTGATTTTAGCATTAGTAAAAAAGTTGTGTGTGTCTACGGCCATGCCACCCTGAACCAGTCTGATCTCGGAAGCTAAGCAGGGTTGGGCCTGCTTTGTGCTTGGATGGGAGGCCACCTAGGAAGACCAGGTGCTGTAAGTGTAAAAAAAAATTAAAAAAAAAAAAAGTTGTATGTGTGATGTTGTGATACCTTGAGCTTTTCTATTTTGATACGATGGGTGAGAGAAAACATTGATCAGATGCCAGGCTTTGGTGATCAGGTGACTTTTAGCCTCGTGTCATTATTATAGCTCTTTGACCTGATACCTGACAAACTTGTAATTAATCCAGCAGTGTGAAGGCTATTTATTTCCATGGAGTTTTTGAGTGGCGATAACCAGCATTCTATGTGGGAAGATAAATTATGTTTTTTAGAGGAAGGAGATTATTTCTTTTTAAAATATGTACCTATTTGCCAGACCTGAGAAACATACAGGCATTAATGGGGTGGGGAAAATTAGAATGGTTACACCTCAGACAGTTTATTCTAGAGAGGTCCCCATCTAAGGTGTACACATTCTAGTTGTTTATAATGATCAGATTTAGGACGCATTGTTATACTGCTGTCGTCTAATCGTCAGACCTTATTCAGATTTTACCAGTTGTCCCCACCAGTGTCCCTTAGAGCGAGAGAAAACGGTTGATTTCTGGACTAGGACCCAGTGTAAGGCACACGCCGCACTCAGTTGTCACTTTTCTTTAGTCCCACTTAACCTGGGGTGGCCCTCTGGTCTCTGTCTCTTGTGGCCTTGACACTTTGTAGAGTGCAGGCCAGTCATTTTGTGGGATACTCCTTAAGTGGGAGTTGTCTGTTTCCTCATGATTAGGTTGAATTACAATGATCGTTGTCAAATGATGGTTTTCTAATTCCCCTTCTTCCCTATTCATTTATCGATTTATATCAGTACGAATTCTGAAAAAAAAAAAAAAATGTCATTTCTTGTATGTATGATTGTACCTTCCAAAGTAAATATGCTTTATATTTATTTGTCAGCTACGTTTCAGTAGTTTATTTAATTAATGTTAGGAAAAGGCCAAAAAAGGAAAGCAGATATTCATGCTTGGAGCCTGCGTCCTTTAGAAAGATGAACCCGTTCTTTAAGAACAGCAGTAGTTAGGCTGATTTTGCCCCCGCCCCTCTGATGTTGTGGCGATGTCCGGGGACATTTCCGGTCTCGACCAGGGGGAGGTAAGTGCTGCAGCATCGAGCAAATAGACGCCAGAGAGGTAGCTGAGGTCCCACCAGCGTCGCAGGCAGTGATCCAGTCCAGAAGGCCGGCGGTGCGGAGGAGGAGGACTCCTGTGTGGGAGCACGTTATGAAACGCGGAGCTGTGTAAGTGTTTGTCTCTTGAGGTAGACTGCACGGCTCTGTGATGGCGAGGGCAGCTCCTGGACCTGGAGGGATTGTACAGCAGTGGTCCCCCTCCACTCTGCTCTGTTTGCCACAGTGGTGAAGACTAAGAGTTCGGGTCACAAAAATGAGGGGATGTCACCTTTTCTGGCTTGATTCTCCTGGCTTGTTAATTTCATAAGAGAAGAGTGTTTTTCATCACTAAGGTGAAAACAGACAGTAGCTGTCCGTGAGCATCTGTTAAATGCAAATTTTGACTTATTTACCTGTAGAGTTATGAGCTTGAAAATAATTTCAGTTCCAGTTCTGCTGGAGACCTTATTTCTTATATCTTTTAAATGTCAGTCTGTTGATAAAGTTTGATAGTCCATTGAACTTAAAGTAGAGCAAGATAAAAATGAGTAAAGAATGAATAATTGTGTTTAGTCCTTTTTTGCTCTTTATTTTAGGAGAGAAAGGTTTGGTTAATTGACTCCGGGGACAGAGTTTTTAAAAAGAGTGTGTGTGTGTGTGTGTGTGTGTGTGTGTGTGTGTGTGTGTGTGAGTATGTATGAGAGAGAGAGAGAGAGAGATCTAAGATTGTTGTAAATATGCAGCATTATTTTACTTGGAAAATGCCAATTTTAAAAGCAAAACACAGTTTTCTATTTCATAAGAACATTAGAATTCATTCGATAAATTGACGTTTTTACTTCAGTGAGTTGATATAGTTTTAGCAGTGATTTCTGGCTGTTATGGTACACAATTCATTTTATTCTTAAACAGATTGAGTTTTATTTGACGAAATGGAGAAAGAGGGCAGAATCTTAAACTTGGGATTATTTAAGCATCCTTTATCCTTAACCTTTAGTACATATATTACTAAATTTGAATTTTTGGTGTAGTATTTTCTGGGCAAGCTATTGGAAAATTAGGGGCATTTTTTGAATTTTTGGTGTTGTATTTTCTGGGCAAGCTATTGGAAAATTAGGGGCATTTTTTTTTTTTTTTTTAGCCTGTCAGGTACTATTTTCTTTTCCCTTGACCCTATAATAAAGTCTGTCTCTTTTTCAGTAGGCACCAAGTTATGTGTTCAGTTTGATCCAGATCCTAAAGCCAGGTGTTTCTCATTTCAAACTGACAGAAGTTTTTTCGGAGAGGCAGAGTTAGAGAGAAGTAAACAAGAGTACTATGACATGTTTTCTGCGTAAAAACATGATCCTTGATGAGGGATACTGGCTTGCAATCTTTTTCTTTTTTTCATAGAAAAACGGTCAACAAAAGGGACCACGTCTCTTTAAGAAGCGAGTAGGTCAACATAACCACCTGCCCACATGGTCCGGTTTAAAGACAGAATTCAAGGAATGCTTTCCAGATGTTGGCGATGTATTTTCTCCCCCTTAGATGATATTTACATGCGGAGCCTCTTTGTCCAAATTCAAGAAATTTGCCCTTGTTTCTGGGATGGGAAAGCAGGAAATGTTGATTGAAATTCGCCAGTAACAGTGCTGAATTTCAGCTCAGCCGACTGGTTATATACAGAAAGGCACGCCTGTCCTTTGAGCTTGACAAGTGCCTGTAGATGGAATCAGCTAAAATGGTTCTTAACTGATAATTACTAAACTGTATAATCACTCTGAATTTTATTCTCTTCCCCCTCCACCACTACCAGTTTAATAAATATTTCAGAATAATAAAAAGCATTCCAAAAAACTAGAATACTTAGCCCATTCTTCTGAAGTATTCCTCTCTCTCTTCTCACTTTCCTGACCTCCTTTTGAGGGTGAATTGTCCTTCCCCTTCCCTGTCCTGTGTTTTTGTGCACCGGTGGACCTTTTCCAGATAGGAATTTTGTAGTGAGATAAGACTCTACTTTAAGGACTAATTAAATCAGGAAAAGGTGATGGACTCATTGTTTTTAAGTTCCTTATTTTCAGGAAGCTCTGATTCTGTTGATAGTGCAGTTATCTGATAATAAGATTACATTGTCCAAATAAGGTCACTTTGGAAGAAAAGGAATGCCAGCTCTTTATCCGGCTGGCTTTCTCGGTTCCGTTTTCTGCAGAGCGGCATTTATTTCGCATTCCTTCATCAGTCTCTGAGTCGGGTCTTTCCGTTTGGAGGGCCTTGCAGAGCTGCCTCTCTCCACCGGGGAGGTGCCTCTCAGCGCTGCTCCATTGTTAGGCCGGGGCTGTCTGGAGCCTGGCGGCCGGTCCTCACGCGTGGCTGGTCTCAGCTGAGAAGTGCCGTATGTGCACACCAAATCCTGAAGACTCAGTATGAAAAAATGGAAAACGTTTCCAGTAAACTTGCATGTTGATTACATATTGAAATAGTAATATTTTGGACATATCAGGTAACCTAAAATCTATGTATTTCACCCGTGTTTTTACTTTTTAACATGACTACCAGAGAGTGTAAAAGGACAGATGTCGGACCTGTTTCTGTTGGACAGCGTGGCTCTGGACAGTCCGTTTTTGACAGCCTGGGTGTATGGTTTCATCATGCCTCCCAGAGGATGACGTCTTGGTCACATTTACTCAGTGATGCCTGACTGACCGGGGTCTCGTCATTTGTTTTGTTTTGCTAGTGATGATGGCCAAAGAGAAGCCACCGATAACTGTCGTCGGAGACGTCGGAGGGAGCATCGCGATCATAGTGGTACGGTCCTGCGTCCTCCTTCCCGTGCATCTGTCTCTTAGTGGGTTGTGCACTTTGGGATGGTTTTTCCAGGATCGATGGTAGATTTAAATGGCTCCATCTGTCCTTTCTCACCCAAACTCCCTCGGGGCAAGGAGAATTTTTGCATAGATGAACAGGGATTATTATAACCTACGGATATAAAAAGGTAACTCCCGGAAGACAGTTCAACCCCACAAGTAACCTTTGTCTTAACGGGTGTAGGTTCCGCCAGACCAGCTGACCTACTCAGCTCTAAGCTTTAGAGCCATGAGCCGAACTAGACATGAGCCGTTCCGGTTTTACTAACGAGAACAAATGTCTCATTCCTGGCGCTCTAACGTGATGTGGCTGCTCCCGGCTCTGTGTGCTTTGGCTGGGCCAGAGGACCGGCCTTCATAATGGCTCACTTCGTTCCGGGTTTTCGTCATTCCACTTTCTCTTGGGAAAAAAGCAGACGGACACTGGCTGTGCAGGATTGATCCGAAATTTGAAACACAGAAATGAGTCTTGGCAGCCCTAAACGCGAGCTGTGAATGTCACACCGGCCTGTGCGGCTTTGCTGCTCTTTGCGCTGACAGCCACGTACACACGACACGGCCCACGCGGTTCCGTTGCCACCGCTCGGTGTTCGACCTCTGATCTAGGCAGATGGCTCTGATTTTCGACATTCTCCGACACAAGTGCAGAGAGGTGTGTGTCATAGGCGGGGGTGGAAGGTGGCTCCCTAACGCTAGCTCCCGTCTCCCCTCAGGATGACATCATCGACGACGTGGAAAGTTTTGTCGCTGCGGCAGAGATCCTGAAGGAGAGGGGCGCTTACAAGATCTACGTCATGGCCACTCACGGCATCCTGTCCGCAGAGGCCCCCCGCCTCATCGAGGAGTCCTCCATCGATGAGGTTTGTGCTTTCCAAGGGCTTGGGACGCTTAGCCGCAGTCAGGTCGCTGCTCTCCTCCCTGTGACCAGCAGAACGACCCGGTCACTAGTGCCAGACCCGGCTCCGGAGGGGCTGTGACGCTGTGCCTTTGATGGCTAGCCGTTTGTGGGGGCAGAAGTACAGTTAGGAATACAGGTCTGTTTTCGTGGAGATTTGCTCTGTGTACTTTAGTATACTTCATATTTCAACATGATTCGATACTGAAGTAGCATTTCTGTCAAGACTCGAATTCTGCCCTGACAGTGTGACAGTGTTACGATGCTGGGCTCACTCAGCCTGTCATTCCTGCGTACGAAGACCGTGGCACTGAGAACTCCATGTTTGGAACCACGAGACCTTGTGTTAAGTTGGTTAAGTTTGTTTGTAAAACTGTACTCAGTGGAATAGAATAAGGTTTTGCAGGTCGGAAAACCTTGGGCTGTGGGGACCCAATGTGGGATAAACTTTTCCACGTGACCGCGTTGGGGCACACATCAGCAGCTTTATTTTCCATTGCTGCCATGACTAGGTGGTGGTGACGAATACTGTCCCTCACGAGGTGCAGAAGCTGCAGTGTCCCAAGATAAAGACTGTGGACATCAGCCTGATTCTCTCTGAGGCCATTCGGAGAATCCACAACGGAGAGTCCATGGCGTACCTCTTCCGGAACATCACTGTGGACGACTAGCTTTCTCTGGAACTCCTGAGACGCGTGGGAGGCGGCAGCAGTGTGACGTCCGCAGCGTTTCCTTGCAGGGGACTCGGGTGGTCTCGTGCCGTTCGCTTTGTAGGAGGCTTTAAGATAGTCGAGGGGGAGACACAGCTAATGGGTAAAGGGCCTTAAACGTCTGCCCTCACCATCCCGTCCCTCAAACAGAAGTCACATTTTCCTGAAAAGAACCTGAACATCTTCTGACACTGCAAAGGCGTTAGAGGCAGAGACAGTGCTAACTCTGGTGTCCGTTCAGCTGTTTCGGCCGCAGGGAGACGTGTGTTCACGTTGAACTTGGGCGGGCAGCTGGGCGCCCCGGCTCTGTGCCTGCTGCAGTTGTCCTCTCCCTGGCCAACTGCACGTAAACCTTTTGTAGAGAACCGTGTTTTCCTCTGAGAAGCTGCTGTGCGTACAGCCTCTGAACCATAAAGCATTTAGCGTCATCCCCAGCAAGGCCCTAGATAGAGAATAAGACCCTGTCTCTCGGTGTCTGCATTGCTCTTAAATTACAAATAAAGGAATTTGTTATCTTGCTCGTCTGGTCACTCCATTGCAGAGCCGCCCACTGCCCCGCCTCAGGGTGACTAACTGCTGCCGAGTCTGCAGAAGGCAATGGATGTAAAATAAAGGCTGGTTTAGGTCCATGGCTGGTCCCAAACCCTGGATGTAAGTCTCCTTCTGCAGGTTCCGTCCCCTTCCTGAGCACCGAAGTTAAATCCTTGTTTAACGTGTTTAAGATCTAAATTTGTAAAAAACAGGACTACTTGTACTGGTTCCTGTTGTAGGTAACGCGTTTTCTATATTACTTAGGACTGTACTTGGCCTTTCTACCCAGCGTTTAAAATTACGTAGTCACAATTCTAATTTATTCCCCATTTGTCAGGTGGGCCTTGCTGCAAATATGGTCTAAACGTTTTGTACCTTCAGCCTCAAGCCAGGGCTAAATGTAACAGGAAGGAGGAGTGTCCGCTATGAAAATGAACTGGAGTTGTTTATTGGTCCTGTTAGTTCCTGAGAAGTAATAAAGGACCATCCGCTTATTTGTGCAATTGTATTTCTCTGCAGGGAAGTTTCCTGGACATTTTTATCCCCTTCCTAACAACTAGAAACGTTCCCAACCCACAGTCAGGACTCTGAGCACATTAGCTTTCGAAGCATACAAACCAGTAGCTAATAGTCTAAGCAGGGGCATTTTGAGCAAAGAACGTAATTATAAGTCGATTAGCGTGGTGGTGAAGAACCATAGACTGTTCTTCGGGAGACCTCATTCTTGTCCCTTAGGTTGAGCACATGCCTGGTTCTTCTGCCCAGGGCCCGTGTCATCAGCAGTAAAGAAGGAGGTTCGGATTTGAGAGCTGAGGTCCTTTCAACTTCGAAATTCCATTTGTGGCCCCAGTTAATGTTTTTTCCCTTTGTCTCTAGGAGTAGAGGTTTGTAAATGAACTTAGTAGCAAACACATTTAGTAGAATATATTTCCTGAGATTAGAATGAGAGCACATTAGAGTAGACCCTTTCCAGCGGCACCACGTGCCTGGCGGGGTACCAGGTCTCAGGGGCATGAAGATGAAAGCGGGCGGGCCCAGGGAGCTGCCATTCTGGCTGCAGCTAGTGCAGCAGCAGTAACGTTCCGGAAAGTCACCGAACTTCCCACGGAGCAAGCCCACGCACTGCAGCCTCCGGCCGCCGGTGCGTGACCCTTGCCTTTGTGATCCGGCTTCAGGTTTTACAAGTAAGAGCACAAGTACGTCAAAGAATATACCTCTGTTCTCATGAAGATTTCCACACCCCCACCTACTGTGTGCCAGGCACTGGGAATATAACGGACAAAATCCTCAGTGTTAACCCTCAGTGGTGGGTATAGACTTGTGTTTAACTCCATTCTCAGGGAACACTGCTTTTTTGGGGGGGGAGGGGACAAACATAACCAGTTCCAATTAACCTTTTACTAGTTCACAATAAAAACTTCTATTTGAAAGTAGTTAAAATAATAAGTACAGATGCATCCGTGGATTCTTAGCTTTCCTGAATATTTTACATGTTTTCTAGAAGAATCTGGTATGGGGAAGTCAAGCCTTGTTGAGAGCACCAAATTTGTCTAGTCCTGTCTATTCCTGCCTTGTAATGAGCTAAAATGCTGGCACTTGTCCAGATGTTCATTTTGAGATAAATTAGGCCAGCGCAGCACAGAAAAGGCTTGTCACCTGGTGACTAAATGGGGCCCCCTGGGTGGTGAGTGGTCTTTTCTAAGTTACCCTCCCTTCTGATGGCACAAAATGATAGGGACCTGCCTCCAAGGAGTCATCCCTCAGGTTTGTGCTACTGCCCTGCCCAAGGCAAGAGCTGAGGACACAAAGCATAGTTCCATGATGCCCCTTAAATCTCTGCATTCTTGGTGGCCTCCAAGGGTGAGTGAATTGTGAGCCTTTCTAGGTTAAGGGACAGCTGGACGCGGTGTGGACCCTAGGAGGAATACCCGCTCAACTGACGTGTTTACTCCCTGATGAAAATGCCTTGGCACAGCCTCATACCACCTGCCCCTGGGCTAAAAGGGAGTGGCGCCGGGGCGGG